CCATTTCATTATTAAAATACACAGTTTCATACAGAAAAATTCATTTTGAGACAGGGTCTCCCAGTAGCCCCAGCTGGCCTGGAACTCACTATGTAGACCAGGCTGGCCTTGAATGCACAGAGGTCTGCCAGAATTCCTGTTGAAAATCTAAAGTGTTAGGCCACATCAAACCCTGACTCAGAATCTTGAGAAAGGCCTAGGAATGTGCATTTCGGTAAACTTCCCAGGTCTTTGCAGTCTACAGTAAATACAGGCAAGCCAAGGGAAAGTGCCATCGTGCTACTAGGCTCGGTAGTCTTCATGGTCCTATTAAAACTATGAGTCTGTAAGTTTAGGATTAAAGAATAACATAAGATTTTTTTTTTTTTGGCCTTTTTGAGCCAGGGTCTCCCTGTGGCCCCAGCTGTCCTGGAACTCACTATGTAGACCAGGCTGGCCTTGAACTCACAGAGATCCACCTGCCTCTGCCTCCTGAGTGCTGGGATTAAAGGCATGCTATTTAAAGATTTATAATAAGACTATCTAGTGCAATAAATTTTCAGGGAAAGATATCTTTTGACTTTCAAAAAATTATTTCCAGAGTTCTCTGTAGTAATTTTGTTTGTGAAATTAGAATGGGGGCTGCTGATTCAAAGAGAATTAAAATTGCATGTACCTGTTGTTGCATATTTGGGTGATATGATATCAGTCTGTTCCTACTTCTTGATTTCTTTATTATAGAATTAAATAGATTCTGTATAAAATTCCATGTTACAGAGTTTTGGTAGGATTCTATCTTTTTTTTTTTTTTTGACCCTGTTTGATTTATTCTAGTTTTAACCCCAAATCAATTTCCAATTCCAAAACTATTATTTTGTTTAAGATGACTCTTTGTGGGTCAGGGGATGTTAGCGCAAGAGAGCTGAGGTTGGTGAGAGAGCAGCCTGGACCCCAATGCCAAGCCTTCCAGAAACACCTTTGAGTTACCTGGCCTCCAACTTTCATTTTTCTCTTGGGGCCATATTGAGAGGATCTTATTCAGTTTTCTGATTTGTAACCTTGGGTACATGGTGTCTGAACCGGACCACAGAGGAGGAGTTGAGAGCCTAGACAACTGGAGAGCCGGGGGGTGGGGGGCACAGATGAGTCTGGCTGAGCGGAATGTCGAAGGATTGTTGGTAATTGTAGAAAGCTGGAAAGTACTTGACCCACCTTGATTCAAGTTCAGATTAAAAAAAAATAATGATGCTCAAATCCAACAAGGTAACTCTGTGGGCTAGCTTAGCCTTTGAGCTTGTTCAGTTTCAAACTCTATTTGCAAACGGTTTTTGGGCTTTCCTGAAGAATGGGGGCAAACACAAAGGAATTTATTGGCAATGAATTCTCTAAAGATGCTAAAATTTGAATGCTAATATATTTCAGAAGCACAGATGAAATTATTGAATAGGAGCTGGCCAGGGCCAGCAGTAGAAGATTTGGTCACTTACTCCAGCTGTAAACCTTTTGTTTTATCCAAATAGTCTTATCATCTAAGAAGCTTTTAAAAATACGGTTTCTCACATCCCATTTCTTAGAGATTCTTGTTTAGCTTCTCTGCTGTGAATCCTGGAAATCTGTAATTTTTAAGCATGCCCAGGGATTCTGATGTTATGAAGACCAGACTTGGAAAAACACTGAATTCCCACTTGTGTTAGTTTCTTTTCCTGTTGCTGAGAATAAAAATTCTGAAAATAGAAACTTAAGGATTAGAGGGTTTATTTTAGTTCACAGTTGAAGGCACAGAACATCATGATGGGGAAATCAAGGCCAGAGAAGCTTGAAGGAGCTTTCACCTCGCGTACACAGTCAGAAGGAAAATGCAGTATGTTTAGGCTGCTCCTCTGTTGTATGTAGTCCAGAATCCCCTGCTCAGGGGATGTTCCCATCCACAAATGAGGTGGGTGGTTTACATTGATTAATATAATCACGATAATTCCCCACAGGCATGCCCAGAGACCCATCTCCCAAGTGATTTTAGACTATGCAAGTTGACTGACTATCATTATTACACTATGACACTATCACAACTCTACCCATTGTCAACCTGACACACAGACACATCACTTAAGACTTAACCTGTCACTTCTTGTCTTCATAAGCTCATGACCATGTTATAATGTAAAATACAGTTAGCCAAAAATTGAAAGTTCCTATAGTCTTTAACAATTTCAACACTTTAAAAATCTTAAAATCTCTTAAGTATGAACACCTCTAAAATAATAAAAAACAAATTTAGGACTTAACAGTAAAGGCACAGCCTAAACAATCCAATTCCAAAACGGAAGAGCCAGACATATAAAAAAAACAGTCACAGCAAAGCAAAACCAGAAATCTACATGAAAAGCACCCAGTCCTACAGCTCCATGTTTGGCATGTGGGCCTCATATTGTAACCATTTGGGCTCCAAAGGGCTTGGGTAGCTCCACCTCTAAAATTCTGCTGACCTCAGAACACATAGATTCTTTTCTGGGTCATTCCCGTTCCATGCTGACAGCTCTCCTTACAGCACATCCCCTGGTCCTGGCATCTCTGGTATCCTGGGGCTTCCCTTGCAACTTTCACTTGACTTTTACATAGGCTTTACCTTCACAGCTTCTCAAAGTGGCCTCTCAGGGCCTCTTTGCAGGGACCTTCCTACAGATATGTGACCCTGCCACACATGCCTGTTTTCCATGACCCCCTTAATCTTGCATCATTCATGCCTTCAAAACCAGTACCA